GACACCGCTATTCCGATCAACACCACGGACACAGCGACAGTTGTCAGCATTACTGCGTCGCTTAAAAATTGATATCCTGCATTTGAAGCAGCATGACAAAACAAAAGAGAGCAACAGAAACATAAACTGCTCCAAAAAACGAAGGGTACCACAACTTGCCAAAGCAATGCCTGGGGCATGTGGCTTTTGGATTATCCAAATTACAGGTTTTCAGATAATTTTAAAGTCGACCTAGATTTATGAAATTAATTGAAACGTTTTACGAAGCTGATGCCTTGATCGCTTCCTGTAAAATTTGCAAAAAACAGAGGTTTCGGACGTTTATTCAGTACTACAGATACAACAGGCCTGGAAAACGAGGGCAAAAGATAAACAGGTAAAATCCAACAACTGGGGATGAAGATAGCAGGTTCGTTACTGGGATTATTTAAGATTATGTACATATATATGATTTGTTAACGATAGAGGTGTTAATCTCTGTAAAGGGATGATGAATATGTTATATGTTACTGCTGTTGTCACTGTCATTCTCAATGCTTGAACAACAGTAGCCCAGATCTGAAGCGTTCGATCATTAGAAATCATCTTTCAAAACAATTTTAAGAAACAACTTTGGTTGATGAGGCGAAAGCAACATTCATCGTACGAAGAACACCTTGTCTTGCTGTTTTCAAATTTTGAATTGCCTTTCAATACCACTGCAGCCAATGGAAGAGCCTAATGGAGAAAGTTTCGAACAAATTCTTGCTCGTTTAGCGGTAGTTTATGAAACCACGCTAGAGACGTGCCTGTCTCCTCTTACGACAGTTCTCTCAGACATCCGATCAAATTTACCGTTATGACAGGTAGACAGAAGTTATGTACTTTCAGCAGTTCGATGGCTGCAAGGAAAAAAATGTCGAAATAACAGTCTCAAAATCTAAGTCAAAAAAAAACAAACTTAGGTTGAAGTCAGTACCTCATCTCTGCATCTGTATCAGTCTTTCAGCATCCAGGTAAGGATAAGTATCATAATCAGTATTTAATGTTTATGTCTATATTAAATCCAGTTAACGTCAAGAAATCATTTACGGTCTTGAACAGTGCAATAAATGTACCGTTTCGTTCATATGACCCTCACTGATCTCTTGGTCATCATCGGAAGGCCTACGACATGGAGCCACTGCAATCGTATATAGTCGCTGGAAGAACCAGTTGGACGGGATCCTCGTTTGATAGCTCTACCACATGAAGAGCAAGACGTTCTGAGATGAATGATCATACCAATGATGGAGAGCAGGACAGAGAGTTCGACAACGGTTGTTTTTGTAACGAATTCACACTATTTAATGTCGAGTCATGACGCAGAAAGTTGAACGAATCATCTATCATTTGCACGTCTCTTTCTTTGCGATATATAACAGTAACTGCAAAATGCAAAATTTGTAAAAACGAGCTTTAGCGTCCTGCGCTGGTCAGTAATTTGAGGCGACGGAGGCCAAGACAACGGCACATCTACTGTCCATAGTGTTCGAACAAGCCCTATGAGCTTCGGATGCTCTGAAAATGCTCTACATCTTTTGTTCTCTGACCACGTGTACATTCAAGAAGTGTTTCTTACTGGGTTCTGTATTTTCATATACTACTAAGAAGTATCAAGGTCTAGCGTATCATATGCATGAATGGAAGTTGGTGATAACAGTGCAGAAGGGGTCTCCTCGCAACGGCGATTCGTATAGGCAAACCTAGCTACATTCGTGAAGACCCACCACGAATTATTCAGGGCTGCTTCATATGTTAAAAGTGTTGCAGTCAACGGCTAAGTTGATGAACACAAGGCAGTCAACTCCCTGACCTTATCGCACTCATTACAGTGTACTGCTAGGCAGTTAATGGCAGTTAATCATAAGCCAGCTCATACGATATAAAATTCTATTCAATTTTGCTTGACCTCGAATTTGGTCCTTGTCTACTGACCCAAAACTGATCAGTTTGCTTTCAAGTATTTCAAATTTCCAATAATTTTTCTGATATAGTAGTGGAACAATATTTCAACATTCCCTATGCATCATAATTAATTATAACTTAAATCTGCTTTACATATGAATGCGTAAATTTGCATGTTTTAGTTGAAGCACTGGAAAGTGAAATTCAGCGGGGACAGAATCGGCGTTCTGCTCTGTATACCCTTTAAACCAAACCATTATTACACGCTGCAGTTCTTGACATTCCTGTATGCATCCTGGAAGGTGATGAACGAGCACGCCGTCGAAGTGCACGCGATATATGGCACGCAGTCTAATTTTAACAAAGTGGACCTGCTGGTATTTTGTGAACCTCCATCGTGTTACGACCTTCCTGATGACTGCGTAGAGTGGACTCCCGATACTCCGGAAATAAAGAATATTCCTTTTTGCTACTTCATTTCAACCAAAGGCTTCAACCTCGAATATGCGAACGTCAACTCGTACTGCTATGTGAAAACGACAGCGTTCGCACAGCTGACTACCCGCTACCGATATCTGCTGCGAACTGACGTTGACGTATTCCTTAGTCCAGCGATGCTGCTGTGGAAGACGGATCAGCCGATCGTCACCGGGCTAGGAGGCTATTGCGTACCGTTCAACATGCGACGCCTGATGACGATGGCCACGCGCTATGGGCTCAGGCACCAGGGCGTCCATTGTCTAGGGTCAACATGGTTCGGAGAGTCGCAGCTGATATCCTCTCTGTCGAATATAACAATTGCGCTGACGATGACAATTTTTGAGAACGAGTTCGATCCAGTGCGCCATCCGGACATCGCAGAGTTTATGCGGCAGTCACCCCATGGAGACTGGCCCTCTTGGTGGAGACCGGTTTCAACGATGTATGCCCAAGAACTGGCTTTGAACCACATGGTGGACGACCTGTCGAAGAGCCACATCAAACGAGACCTCATCGACGTCGAGTCTTGCAGACGCACTAGCATTTTACTTCACCCCCATATACACACGTGGCATTCAGACTGTGAGTTCAGTAAGTTTACTTTCCTCGACCCCCTCGTGTTTAACGTCAGTATCGAGGAAAAATTCATCATTGACTTGCAATATATACGGCCCACGCTTATTTCTTGCTTCTCAGTAGCTGATTACTGTACTTATGTGGCTAAGAATGCCCTAGCACGCTACACGAAAGAACTTGGGAAACTTTCAAGCCTTTTTTCGAAACACAAGAAAGCACCACAACCTCACTCAATATCTGTCGTTTAGAAACTTGTCATAGCAAATGCAACGTTATGTCTGTAGCTACCTTAAATATGCCTGCTACTTAAATAAAGGCATGTCGTTAAATGTAAAACATTAATTATGATTGTTCTGACGATGAAGACTGATACTCTCACCAGAATCGCCCAAAATTTCATGTATATTGCAGCTGGAAGGCACAGCTCAGTGCCGAACGTATTTTTACGGGCCTGCATGTTTTACTCATTGTAGAAAGCTTCGGTTAAGTCAAACCTATGAACTCTGTACATGCGTAATTGCGCGGATATTTCCCGGTGCAATTAACTGCCATTGACGACGTGGGTCTTCTCTATCTGACTGACTGGCATTAAAAAAAAATCTGCCCCAACTCGATAAATTATTTTTGCTATCCGTCTTTAAGATTCCGGTTAGTTTTTAAAGAATAACGAGTTCAATGTTGCTCTAGCACAGAAAACAAAAAGCAACAAATCTTAATAAAATAAACAGTAGGTCAGGCAAGAACTAACCCTGTTTAGTTACAGTCTCTTTTGAGATGCTCAGCATTTTCCAACACTTCAAAGCTTTCTTGGCTGCAGATGTTCTTGCCAATCGTTTCGTCTTTCCGACGCCATCAAATTTTCCTATATTCCTCACCCTTAAGGTCACTTGAACTTTGCCCTCTTCGGACAAGGTTTGGCAGTTTCTGCAAGTATAGCATACAGTTAAGCAGAAACCACAATGCATGAAGACAGTACTAACAAATACAGGTTAGGCTAATCATCACAGAGCTGCTATTACAGCATAGTCAGCACACAGTGACATAACGATTAAACACGAATGCATCGCCACGTAGATGGTAACTGAGAATCTTCTGCTAATTAAGGCTTAAATATCAGCAGACACGCGTGAATTCACGTGAAAGCACATTCATAAAAGCGGCGGGGCAGCAGATGGCAGCTTAGCTATAGGCTCTAGATGTAAGAAGCGCCAATCGCAGTGCGCGGGTAAGGTGCAACTAATTTTAACCAAAAGAAAGGAATCGGTTCCACTTTGCCTCAAATAACGAATGACTCTTCCAAAATCAGTTTTCCTGGCGAAGAATTCCCTCGGTCTCGCGCTGCAAGTTGCCTAGGGGCCATTTAAGCAGGCTATTGATCCACGGAATTTGAGCATCTGCAGCGCCACGTGCATCTGACAACATGCTGTCCGCCAGAGTCACCTCGCAATCATTATGATGTTACAGACGCTGGTATTCGTCATGTCGTCATGCGTTACTGCATAAACAACTAAGTTGTTTGTACGCCAAAGTATGTCAAATAACGACAAACGCAAAACAAACACGAAAAAAAGAGAAGATGTAAATCGTAAACAAAAACAAAAATTGTCTAGTCAGATTTTGCCGGCCACAGTGAGCCTAAAGGTACAAGAAACTAGACAAATTTAATATCTTAGCAATGGCCTTTCGAGAGTTGATGCATCTGACTGCTTCACAAAGACTTGACCTTAAGGATCTCGTAACCAACCGTCTGTGTAAAATATCATAAGGGTAAAATAAAATTACGTTCTTTGACACTCAACTTGGCGATTAAGTCCGTTTGACAATGAATGACATCAAGCAGCTATGCATTCAAAGACATGTACCAAGAAGGGGAACTCGTTCAGAGAAACGCTTGACTCTACAGCTGCCCTGAATATTGCTGCCAACAATTTAGCCTGAGAATCCAATTGAGAAGATCAAAGAAAAACCGGAATAAGCGAATGGCGATTGGCATGGCAGGATGAAATATGACGGGATGGCTGTATACTGTTTAGAGGCAACGGTAGCCGCGAAACTCTGTAATGAATTTTCAAACGCGTTCGGTCAATGAGACAAGGTAACCGGGATTGACAGATTTGCTTATGCACTTTAGAACAGCTCTGTTCAAGAGAAGGATACTCTGATTACAAATCCGGGAGAAACGATCCGGGGCCACAGTTCGAATAAATTATTAAAGAAAATGGCGAAATCCTTGCCGTTTTCCCTGCCACAGATACCGAAAACGGAGAGGGCACAACACTTCATTGTGATCGGACGGTTAAGACCTGGAAAACGTGGTCTTCGCGAAAATCCACAACGAACAAATCAGACATGTCCGCATACCTTACAGTGAGATCCTTGCACTGAATGAAGAAAAAGACTTGCTGAAATCAATATGAAAGAAAAGCACGTGATAAGTATATAAGATGTTATCAGAAAAGGTTCAATAAAATATAAACGCGTACGTGAACACTGCGTTCGACCTAAAAATTTCGTTAAGCTGCCTGAGAGGATGTATTGGCAAACGAATCACGTACTGACCTAAACGAATGGATGAGCATGTGAAAAAAAAATACAAAACGCAGTTACGCAGTTGATCTTTCATCATTTTATGGTACACTGACCAAACAATCTCCAGAGAACAACCAGTGTCCAGATATATGGCACCAGCAACAGATTCGAAGATATCGCTAAGAACTTTGGGCGCTTCGATTTCCTCCTCCAAACTGCACTCATCTTCGTGTAATATATACTCCTGAACAAAAACGCCTTACATCAGGCAAGCTTACAGCCTCAGCAACAGCCGTTTTATTTACCGTATCAAAATTAGCATTCTCTGGCAACGTATTTACGATACCGATAAACCTTTCGATTTCGGAGAATAAAAGAGGTGACGTATGCATCAGAAACTGAAAGCAAAATTTTTATTTGCCCACCATGTTTAAAGCCTGTAACAATGGCACTCACCTTGTGGTATTTGTACTTAACGGCGATGGTCGCGAAGATGGTATTGTTGACCATCGCTGAACGCAAATCCGTCAAAATGCCCGGCGTGTAGTTGCATTGGTAATCGAAAAAGTGGCGGGTAATCAAATAGTCGATTACGGCATCACCGAGAAATTCGAGTCTCTGACAAAACAAGCCCATCGGCAGTTATACAATGAACAAGCAGCACTGTAAAAACGAAACAAACAAAAATACACATTTGTAGAAATCAAACATCAGAGCCAAACAACACTTGCAAAGAATACTTCCTATCATTTGACATCAGTGAAAAATGAGGTACAATCAGTAATCTGATGGGTAAAACCTGACTTCGTAATCTGCATGACGCGCAACTGCCGTTCAAGTTTAAGCTGCAATTAATTTTAGCACTTTACCAGATCGCAGATTAGTCCTTTGTATCACTCGGTCCAGATTATATTTCTGGTACCTTTCTTGCAATGCATCGAGTATCAGGCAAAACATAATAATAGGCTTTTTACATCTGGGCAACTAAATTATAAAATTTTCATAAACAATGAGGCCATTTTTCTGCATGATTTCCAGCAGTATTTCAACATCGTTGCGCACAAGCAGATTACCTAATTCCAAAGACATGAACCCTGCCCAAATAAACGCTTGTAGACTCGCTAGTGTTATGGTACCGATCCTGGCCATCGCGCTTACAGTAAGCAACAGGGTCAAAATATTCATGCAAAATGTTACATTTTCACATTCCTTCGACGTCTGTGTTGTCACGAGATTCTTTTCTTGGACAAAAGTAAATGTAATTAACTGCTTCTTTTCCCTGATTTGCAGCCTCGAAAGAAGACGATCCGGCGATAACGTCAAAAATCTGCAAATTCGACACAGGCAAGAAATATTTCTGAAACTTGGCAAAACGAAGTACCGCCAGGTACGCTAGAGAGTGCGAGTCCACTTGGCGAGCAACTCGTACAAGCACCTACTGCAGACGACGACCGTACTATTCAGCACCAGTCAGTTAGTCTTTGACTATCGCATCTGCATTTTATGTTGCAGATTAGCAGTATTACAGTATAGAAGCGCTGTCGTTTTTCTCTATGCTGAAAGACTTGTCTAGTTACAGTTACAAGCAGTAAATATGATTGATTAGTAGACAGATTACTTATGTCACTTCTATAGAAAAGCTTAAACTTTCTTTTATCTCGTTCAGCTTAAACTAGGAAAGGTTATATACCGTTGACGTCACTGCTATGCTCATTCATGCAGACCTAGATGACCTTTGATACTGTAAGCTGTTCGAAGCTTCTTGGCTTGCTGATCGAGATCAACGACGATGTCACTACTCAGGTGCACGATATGGTACACGATACCGTTTGTAACAGTGAGCAACACTTCTTCCCGCCGCCTGAACAAAGAGGGGGCCTTCAAGGTATCAGAAAATTTTTCAATTAATATAGATTAACTTATTTAAACCATCTACAGCCACTTGCCACGGATTCGCATGGTGTGGTAGCACCGTTGCTGTTAACAGCTTAGAAGGCAGATAAAACTCCGTGGTATCTCAACATCTGCAATGCATGGGCATAAAACAGCAACAATATGTTGGATTGAGCAAAAATATGTTCGAACATCAACCAAGTTAGTTCTTTAAACTAACGGATAGAGTTTAAGAAAATTATAGAAAACAAGTCACGCACAAATTTTGGTCAGATATATACTTGATAGCATCTGGTGGAGAAGTTGGCCGAAAAAGAAGAGTGCGTCAGCGATTCGACGAGGTACACTTTATTGTTGAATGTATAACCTATGATTTTTTCAAAATCAGAAATTCCATATTTCTTCCATAGAACGTCCAACTCGTTAGCGCATTCCGGTGAGAGCTTTTCCGCTGTCATCGGCTCTTGCAGACTCTAAAACTAGGAAAAATAATACATCGTTAAAAATATAAACTGCTTCAAATTAGTAGATGGTTTCACAAATTTGCATTAATGGCATCTAGTAGCGATGGGACAGTGCGTTTTCTATTTGACAATCTGGTATAAGCAATTGAACTGTAATATTTAGCAGGTAGATTAGGAAACGTATCATTCACGCTAGCTACCCCAGAATATCGGGGTTACATTTTACATCATTTTGCATACGGACAGTGGCAAACTTTGTATGTGCTTGAAAATGCCTCATTCAGTTCAGCTGAGACTCTTGCATACCGCAGGCTCTTAAATACCATGGAATTGTGACCTGTTTAAATCGTCGCTTGTCTAACGGAGTTAACGCTTGTCTATATATTTGCCTACGGATAATGACAGATTTAGCTGATGATGGAATGCGTCCTTGTTCGGTCCAACACAATGATGCACCCTTGCATCCAACGCACAGCAGATGCTCACATACCGTGGAACCGTTACCTGCTCAAATGGTCTCCCTAGACGACTAGAAGCAAATGGGCAATGTGCTTTAGTGTAAATACGGCATTAACAATTGAAAAATAGAAAAACATTTGATTTGTGAAAATTCAATATCACTTGACTTGCTAAACAAGACAACGTATAAAACAAGGGATAAGGAATTGGGGTGAGGAGCGGCGGCGCAATATCTTTAAAACATTCAGGAGCT